ATATATATATATACACACATGTTTTCGACGTAGTACATAAGTCAGCCCCGCAGCTTCAAGGGGCTGGTTTCACGACTTGGCCGGCAGCCAACGTTCTCGACTCTTCCGGTGGGAAGGCCCTTTGGTGGCGAAGGGTTTAGGGTTTGAGGGCCGCAGGGTTTAGGGCTTGATGGCTTAAACACGGATTTGGGCTTAGGGTTCGGGTTTCGGTTTATCAAGTTTATAGGGTCTGCGGTTTGGTCTCAATGGTACCCTAGGATCGGTTTCCTCTGTGAGTGCCTGCAACAAGGTTAATGTAGGGACAGCAATTTGCAACATGTAACTAGTGTAGGAACCTGATACAGAAACCCAGGCCCTATAACCCCAAAATATTCGGATCCCTTTAAAGAGCCCTGATGTTTCTCAGTCAGGTTCACTCATGGTCTTCTGGGGCTGGGGTCTCTATGAGATTGAAGTCTAGCTTCCATGTCAGCAAGAAATATTTAAGCCTCAAACCCTCAACCCTAAACCCTTAAACCCTTAAACCCTTAAGCCATAAACCCTGAGCTCACCCTGAACCCTTTAAACTCTAAACCCTGAACTCTAAACCCTAGACCTTATAAACTCTAGACCCTAAGCTGGAAAAGCTCATGTGGCTGCGGAGGTTGGTGAAGTTCGTTTCATGGTTCAAGGCATTGCGACTGGAGGTTTGGGGTGTTTGGGGGTTTGGGTTTATAGGGGTTAATTAGGGTTAGATTTTGTGTTCAGGGCTTAGGGGGATTAGGGCGCTAGCGACTGGATTGCACGGCATAGAAAGTGGGATGACAGATTTTGGGGGTTTTGAGGACTGCCGCATTGTGAACTTGGAGCCATGGTGCTTGCAGTCGACGTCTCTGCCTTAAGTGGAGTTCGTACAATACTCCATGTGGGTAGTTGTCAAAATTATGGTCCCTTTTGGGGTCCCTTAAATAATAGGTGCCGTATTATAATAAGGACCCAAAAAGGGACCATAATTTTGACAACCACCCATGGGGAACCCCAGGATACCGTCGGCAAGTTGAAAAGCGATGCCGAACGGAACCTCGGTTTTGGACCAGGCAGACTATCGCGTTCGGATGGAGTTGCACGTGGACATGTCCTGCGGTTGATGATGTAAATCCTGCATTACCCACGATAAGGAATGTACCATAATTCCCATCACTAGTTATCGGGCTAAGGTTTAGGTTTAAAAAGAAGCTAGGGTCATGCACCCTCCTTTTCGACCGAGGGTCTGACTACATAACAGTGCTAATATTCGGGCTCCTCCTCCTCATTATTGGTGTATGATGTACCCCAAAAAATACGAACTCTCATTCTAATTATCAAGGCCCCTACATTATGTCCAACGGCCCTCAGCCCCTCGAGAACGGAATCTGCGGATGACACCCCCCCTTTGGTCCTGAGGTTTGGTTCACCATCCGTGGCAACTACTGCGCTGAAGGTGGGTCATCTCACTGCTTTGGGGTGTCGGGACCCTAAGCCCTATAACCCTAAACACCTTAAAACCCTGTGTTTCGGGGCCCTAAGCCCTATAATCCTAAACACCTTTAAACCCTGGGTGTCGGGACCCTAAGCCCAATAACCCTAAGCCCTTAAACCCTAAACCGCTAAAGCCCTGACTCATCTCACTGCTTCGGGATGTCCTGATTTCGGTACAAGAGGCTACAGGCTGACAGTGCAATCGCTGCAGCGCGGCTCTCCATAAATTCTTTGAAGAGCGTAGAGTAGCCCAGAAAGAGAGGCTAATGGGCTCTTAGCGACATTTAGATGAGGATCAACTGAGGGAAAGACTAATCCCGAAGCCTTCTCCACCCATAGTCTCCAAGGCAAGTCCCTCTGTTTGCTCTCTACATTTAGTGAAGCATTTCCGTGGCCAGGATCTTTTAAGGAAAGGCAAGGCAAGCTAAAAAGGTCGGCTCCGAAAGGCCCAGTGAGATGCAGGCTTCGAGATCAGGATGTCGGTGTTGGGACCTCCCTGCTTCCTTACTTAAAGGATCATGGGACTTTGTAACTAAGAAAATTATTAGGGTAACTATACTTATAACTACTTATAACGCCAATTAGGGTACTTATAACCATACTTACTAAGTTCCATGATCCTCCAAGTAGAGTTCCGGGATGCCAACCATCTAGTGCGCAAGCCCGTGAATTCTCTGCTTGGTGGTAGGCCCTGGTAGGCTCCTGACGATGGGTACTCGCACCCTTTCGAAGCAGAAAGGGTCATGCTTCAATAGCTGAGCATCGGGGTTTCGAGATGTAGGGCATTTGTTCAGAATATAGCGTATGAGGCGCAGGAAAAAGGGACTAAGTCGAGCTTCAGTCGAACATGACTCAGAATTTATGTGTGCATGTAGCAGTGGGTATCCAGCTTTGGGAAACGCTGCGCATGAAAGGTGTCAAGTCGATCAAGTGGCAAGCTTGTTGCAGGTGGCACAATCCAGCTGACGATAACATGGGAGGCACAGGGAAGGGCCGAAACCCTAAACCCTAAACCCTAAACCCTAAGCCGTGAGAGGAGCCTGATTCGAGGTTCCAAACCCTAAACCCCCGACCCCGAGTTCGAACCTCGAGGACCTGAACCTGCATAATATAGGAGCCTTAATAAGTCTAATAGGGTTTTGGGGTACATTATACTATAGTCATACTATTATAAGGAACAAGAAAAAGTATAGGTTATTATTGAGGCCGCTATGGTAATTTGGTTTAGGGTTTCAGGCAAACCCAGAGTTCTAAACTAGGTCCTAAACTACTCTAAGACTGCCCAAAACTGAACCAACCCTAAACTTACCTTCCTAAACCCTAGACCCTAAACCCTAAACGTTCCTAAACCCTGTACCGTAGACTCCAGTTTCCTTAGACGAGCCGCATGGCCCAACTTCCGGGGTAGAGCCTGGCGATTTCGGGTGTAGGGGTTAAGGCTTAAGGTTTTTTTGTTTAGGGTTGAATTTGAGGGCCCAAATCCTCAACCCTAAACCCTCGACCCTAAGCCCTAAACCCGCAACCCTAAACCCCCAAAACCCTAAACCCCTAAACTCCTAAATCCCTAAACCCCAAACCCCTAAACCGTCAATCCTAAAGCCTTTCATGCGCCCTTTCCCAGATGCAGAAAATCGGGAGAGTCGAAGCCCGGATTCGAAGCGCAAGAAGCTCCAAACCGGTTGAACCTAGCACCCCTCACATTCACCCCTTACAGGGAACCCCAGATAAAAAGTTGGAATATGGGTTTGGGAGGATTGGTGCTACGATCCCGTATGCTTTACCTGAAGGGCATGAGGATATTGATGTTCCAACTTTCTGTCTTCTACTATCTAGTACCTATTATACTATGTCCCTTATAGTACGTCTTATGGCATCCCTTACAGTAGCCGCAGTAGCCCCTTCGGTAGATTCCGAAAGTCTGAAAAGCAGTAACTTCGATGCCGGACATCCCGCGTATATACTTGTAAGGCCTATGCCCGGGACCCGAGTAGATCTATTCAGTCAGAATGGCGTTTAGGGCTTAGGGCTTGCCTGCGTATTTCTATACTCTCTCCCTATGCCTATACATATGATGTACATAACTATATATATACATAAAATCTATAACTTTTTACATACACACACACATTCATTATATCTATATATATATATATACATACACAGAGTAATAACATGCTGACCCGAAACCTGCCAGGCCGGCTCCGGATCTCAGCCATCTTCCGAGATGTCAGAGACGCCGGGCCCACAAAACCAGGCAGGCTTGCCCTGTAAAGGGACTCAGGGCTTAGGGTTTAGGGTTTAAGGGGTTTAGGGGTTTGAGGTTTAGGGTTTAGGAGTTTATAGGGGTTTAGGAGTTTAGGGGTTTAGGGGTTTAGGGTTGAGGGGTTTAAGGTTTAAGGGTTTAGGGCTAGGGTTACTTTAGGGACTCAGGATGCACACATGCTTGTTGGACGGACTCTGGCGTATGTTTGACAAGCATACTGTATGCGTCTGGAGAGACAGAGTTTGCGAGAGCGACAGAGAGAGACAGAGAGAGAGAGGGAGAGCGCAAGCGAGAGAGAGAGAGAGAACAGGTTTCCGTGGCAATGCGCTTTGAGACCAAAGCCTCGCGGAGGGCTTGTAGATTAATCCTGAAACAATCCCTACTTGGAGGATCATGGGACGCAGTAAGTATGGTTATAAGTCCCTTAATCGGGGCTATAAGTAGTTATAAGTATAGTTATCCCAATAATAACCTTAGTTACTAAGTCCCATGATTCTTTAGCCCTAACCCTAAACCCTAAACCCCTAAACCCTTGTTAAAGGTGATCCTTTAAAGGAACCCTTACTTGAACCCTTATAGATCTCCTTTAAAGGAACCCTTAATAGAACCCTTATAGATCCCCCCCCCAAAAAAAAAACCACAATTCCGACGACTCCTTGGCGCAGATCCATGGGCGTGTTTGGTTCGACGACCGGCGCGGCTCACTTGTACTCGCCGGGCAATGGCAAGATCAGCAAGGTGCATGTAGGAATGGTTTCAGGGCTTCGGGTTTAGGGATGTTTAGGGTGTAGGGGCACTATGATAGCTAGACCCCAAACCCTAAACCCTAGACCCTAAACCCTAGACCCTAAACCCTGTGGCTGCATGACAAGAGTTTGGGGTCTGAGCGGATTTAGGGTGCCGACTGGTCTAAGTTTCAGGGCGGCGCCTCCTAGGTTGGCAGGGCGGCGGGGGATTGGGTTTAGGGTTTAGGGTTTAGGGTTGGGGCGAGTTGTTCTGCTGTTTTTGCCTTCTCGTTCGTGGTCACGGCTCTGTGAAGAGCCCCAAACCCTAAACTCGAACCCGACAGCCTACACCCCGGACGCTTAAGCCCAAACATCCTAATTCCGATGACTCCACAGCCTATAACTCGAACACCATGAACTCTAAACCCTAGAACCCTGAACCCGGAACTGTAGGTATTGAAGACTTTTCCGCGCATTGCCAAACCCAGTGTGCTAAAACCCTACGCCTTGAATCCCAAACCCTAAGACCTAAATCTTCAAACCCTAAACCCTAGACCCAAAGCCCTAAACCCTAACATTTAAATCTTCAAACCCTAAGCCCTGAGCCC